CAAAAATGAACTATTGGGATTTCATCAAGATAAAAAGCTTTTGCACAGCAAAAGAAACAGTCCACAAAACCAAAAGACAACCGACAGAATGGGAGAAAATATTTGCAAACGACATATCAGATAAAGGGCTCGTATCCAAAATCTATAAAGAACTTATCAAACTCAACACCCAAAGAACAAATAATCCAATCAAGAAATGGGCAGAAGACATGAAGAGACATTTCTCCAAAGAAGACATCCAAATGGCCAACAGGCACATGAAAAAGTGCTCAACATCGCTCGGCATCAGGGAAATCCAAATCAAAACCTCAATGAGATACCACCTCACACCCGTCAGAATGGCTAAAATTAACAAGTCAGGGAACGACAGATGTTGGCGGGGATGTGGAGAAAGGGGAACCCTTCTACACTGTTGGTGGGAATGCAAGCTGGTGCAACCACTCTGGAAAACAGTATGGAGGTTCCTCAAACAGTTGAAATTAGAGCTACCGTTTGATCCAGCAATTGCACTACTGGGTATTTACCCCAAAGATTCAAATGTAGGGACCCGAAGGGGTACATGTATCCCAATGTTTATAGCAGCAATGTCCACAATAGCCAAACTGTAGAAAGAGCCAAGATGCCCATCGACAGATGAATGGATAAAGAAGAGGTGGTATATATACACGATGGAATATTATGCAGCCATCAAAAGGAATGAGATCTTGCCATTTGCAACGATGTGGATGGAACTGGAGGGTGTTATGCTGAGTGAAATAAGTCAATCAGAGAAAGACATGTATCACATGACCTCACTGATATGAGGAATTCTTAATCTCAGGAACAAAGGGAGGGTTGCTGGAGTGGTGGGGTGTGGGAGGGATGGGGTGGCTGGGTGATAGACATCGGGGAGGGTATGTGCTACAGTGAGCGCTGTGAATTGTGCAAGACTGTTGAATCACAGATCTGTACTTCTGAAACAAATAACGCAACATATTTTAAGAAAAAAGAAAAAGAAGAAGGTAACAGGAGAGGAAGAAAAGGGGAGTATGTCAGAGGGGGAGACGAACCATGAGAGATGATGGACTCTGAAAAACAAACTGAGGGTTCTAGAAGGGAGGAGGGTAGGGGATGGGTTAGCCTGGTGATGGGTATTGAGGAGGGCACGTTCTGCATGGAGCACTGGGTGTTATGAACAAACAATGAATCATGGAACACTGCACCAAAAACTAATGGTGTAATATATGGTGATTAACAGAACAATAAAAAATTTAAAAAAAACTAAAAAAAAAAAATTACAATTTCCACAGTGAACCTGTGTTAAATAAATTATTGGCGAGGACAATCTCAGTCTCTGAGTATAATTTGCCTCCAGTGAAACACCTGGTCTCTGACCCCAGCCCCGGACCTAAAAGGCAGGGAAGACCTTGCTGCTTTGTAGCCACGGGCTGTTTGGGAGGCAGAATATAGGGGAGTCCCTGCTGTGCGGGGCTTGACCTGCCCCCTGCGAATGTGTCAGGGCAAAGCTCAGGCAAGCGGACGCATAGGAGTCCCTCACCTATCCAGACCCTTCACCGGCTCCTTGGCAGAAGCCCTCAAAGGGCACATGGGGCCTTTCCAACCTCCCGAGGCTCCCCGACACCCCAGCTGATGACTTCCAGAAACACTAAACCAACAGAGCATGTGGTGCTCCCCCCACCTGGCGACCCCTCCGCCCAGCATCCTGACTGAAACGGCCCCTCGCCCCTTTGCCCAGCCGGCTCCCTCTCCCCGAGGAAGACTCCTTTGAGCAAACTCCCCTGGACAGCCTTCCCCAGCCCTCCCCACCCCACTGAGCTGCCCCCGGCTGGAGGAGATGCGCCTCCCCAGCACCTGTCCTTGCCTTGACTTCCACGTCTGTCTCCCTGGTGGAGCACTAGTGTCTTGAGGGCAGGCTGGGCCCCTCCCGTCTGCACCGCACGCAGCACCCGTGCCTTGCTGGTACTCGGTACCCCAGCACTAGGCTGCGGCCCCAGCCCCTTGTGCGGTGTTAACAAGGGCTCCAGGTTACGCCCGTGCTACCGTGTGAGGACCACCGATCTATACTGTGAGAAAACACACGGCGTAGAGAATCCTTCACATGGGTGCAAAATGTCTTTTTGTCCTAAGCTTAAGGCAATGCTGCCTTTGCTAGAATTGTCACCAGGTTTTAGAAAATTCTTTGGAAGCCTTTTGCAATAATGGGCTTCCTGGAGGAGACTGAAACTTGAGCCTGATTCCTGCTATTCTAACCAGGTTCACATTAACTACTCGTTCTTCCATGAGACACCCCCCCCCCCCCCCCCCCACACACACACACTTACCTTTCCTCCTACAGCCTCAGACGCCATGTCAGCCAGCTGGGTGAAGTCCGGACGCCTGGCCAGCCTTCCCTCCCTGGGAGAGTTGGCCATGCTTCCTAGCAACGAGAAAGAAGGTGCGGTCAGCCTCGGTGTAGAGGGCGGCAGAGCTTGCGCGAGCAAGCGAGGCCCCCACCCGGGTTCCCAGCCCAACACCCAGATTATCATCCGATGTGATGGGTGTCCACCTGTCACCAGTCCCTTCAGGTGACTTTGCACAAACACAGTGAACCGGGAGGGAATTAGAGCATGGTTTCCCTCTGAAGTAAGAACAAAATGCCACTAAATACACAAATCCTACTGCCTCAAATTGCAATTTTATTTTTTTTAAAAGGGGAAAAATACTTTAACTTAGAAAGGAATAATTTGCTTTTAATAGGGTTTGGATCCATTCAAAAAAAAAAAAAAAACATTTACCTGAGCAACTAGGAGGCAGGCCCTGGCTAGAAATGGGGTACGGAGGAGAATGCATGTCCGTGCCTATAGGTGCTCCCGCACAGGGAAACAGACATCCCCAGATGCCCATGCAGAGCAATGTTCTGGAACCATCCGAGACTGAGGCACAGAGGTCGCTCCATCCAAGAGGATGCAGGACCATCTGTTGCATCTAAGTTACGCGGGGCTAACGTAACTTAATCCAACCCCCACCCACACCCTTATTTTGAAGTTGAGAAAGCAGAGGTTTGGAGAAGTGCAGAGGCGTGGACAGGGGAGTCGGGGCTGGCCTGGAGGCCGCCCCACTCCTAAGCCAATGAATGTCCCCTTGTTCCTGCCGTTTCTCCTACCCCTCATGGTGAAAAGAGAAAACCACACAGAAACTAAGATCTCACTAAGAATTATTCACGATAGAAGAAGCACAGTCAATGGACAGGAGAAGTCAACTGCCCCTTGAAATTACAGGCATATAACGAATTATCAAATGACATTCTTCCTTGTGCCATTTGTGGACACTTTCTGTAACAAGTATACCCCTTGACCTGCTCTCAGGAATATGAACTTGAACAATTTCTGCAGTGATTAGTTATTATAACTTTGAAAGAGCAGGCAGCCCCTTGCCATTGTCCCCTGCACGGTCCTCCCTGAGGTCTTCACAGCGGGGACCCTGGCTCTGCCGAGTCTCCCCCTCCTCCACACTCACCCGGTGGCCTCACACCATCTCCTGGCCCCTAACACCACCCACACGCTGGTTGTCCCCAAATACAGGTCGCCTTCCTCGGTTTCCACCTGCCAACTCAGACAGTCTCGCCGGGATGTGTGACCGAGTGCCCCCCACACGACTCCCGCCCCCCAGTCTCCCCACCTCCCCCGGAGGCACCTCGCCCTCCAGCTGCTCAAGCAATCCCGGGGTCACCTCTCCTGTCTCCCCTTTCCCTTCGACCACAGATCCTACCTATCAGAACATGACATCTACCCTGAAGTTGGATCCAGGACCCTGAAACGGTTCGTAGACGGCATTACCCGAGGACGAGGGAAAGCGCCTAAGGGCGTAGAGGACACAGGCTGGCCGTGGCTTCCTGGCTGTTGTCAGTGGCAATGGCACATACACCAAGGGTCCAAATACCTTCATCTACACATGGAAATCTTTCACAGCAAAATTATACATATTACGGGCATTATCCCTACACAGGAAGAGAGAGATAATGGGGCACGGGGGTGGGGGAGCGCATCCTCAGCTCCCTCCTGTATCGTTAACACACCCCCAGCTGCGCCCCCCGTCCACCCTCCCTCACTGCAGCCGTCTGCCCCCAGCAAGACATCAGAGCAACCTTCTGCAAACTAGAGTCAGACTGTCGAACCCCTGGTGTGTACGGCCCCCTTCCTCTCAGAGTAAGAGCTGGGGTCTTCAAGGTCCACAGGGCGCCCCCGACTGACCCATCCCTGGCCCCCACGTCTGTCCTGCCCCCATCGCTGGGCAGTGGCCCCGCCCCCGCCGGGAGGTCTCCCCTGGGTTTCTGCGCGGCGCACCCTCACCTCCCTTCAAGCCTGTGTCCCACAATCACCTCCTCAGTGCGGCCGGCCCTGACCCCCACTCACAGCGACATTTCCGCTCCCCCGGCACCTCCCACACCCCAAACCCATCTACTTTTGTTTCCATAACAGACAGACATACTGTGTCATTTGATTATCATTCTGTCATCTATTTTTCCCAGTTAGATGTGTGCTCCATGAGGACAGTAATCTTCATTTGGTCCACTGGTGTTGCCCTAGGGCTTGGAACCGGCCTGGCCCGGCACGGACGAGATGCTTCATAAATATTTGTTACGTACATGAGTGAACGAAGAATGTTTTCTAACTCACTTTGTGTTTTATTTTTTTTAAAGATTTTATTTATTTATTTGAGAGAGAGAATGAGAGAGAGAGAGCATGAGAGGGGGGAGGGTCCGAGGGAGAAGCAGACTCCCCGCTGAGCAGGGAGCTCGATGCGGGACTCGATCCCAGGACTCCGGGATCATGACCTGAGCCAAAGGCAGTCGCTTAACCAACTGAGCCACCCAGGCGCCCTCACTTTGTGTTTTAAAATACTGGTTCCCTAATAGGACTAAGATCTTCCTGAGGATGAAAAGGTGCAGAAGAAATCTGCTAACATTTATCATGAGTTTGCAATAATATGCAGCTCATACATCTTATCTCTTTTAATCTTCAGAACAACGCTGAGATTTTGGTATTATTGGCATCTTACAAACGAAGAGATGCACCTTTGAGAGGTCAAGTAAACTATACAGACCACACAGCTGGAAAGGGAACCACATCTCCAACCCAGACACGCCTCACCGTGATTGCTATCTGAAGGCCCGTAGCGCAGCGCTGGCTCTCGGGGTGTGACAGACGGGTGGGTGAGGTCATTCCGTAACTGTGTGTGCGGTCCTGTGACATGCAGGCCCTGCGCCAAGCGCTGAGATTACACCTGCTCCCGGGGCTGATGGCGGAGGGCAGGACATGGACACAACAGCAGGCAGTGCCGGTGATCAAGACGGCAGTGATGTCCTCACAGTGTTCCAGGACCCTTGGGGGCCCAGGGGTTCCTGCGGGGGCGGACTCCGGAGCCGGGGCTTTAGGAGAAGGAGGGGCAGGGGAGACACGCCGGCAGACCGGGCTGCAGGACCCACAGAGCGCTGGAGGACGTCATCCATCTGCACCTGCACCGTCCGACCTAGAAGCTACTGGCCTTTCGTGGCCATTTAATACAGCGAATAATTTAATTATATAATGTAGTTATAATTAAATACATGTAATAAAATTAACAGGGCAGTTTTTCCTTGGACTAGCCACCGTTCGAGGGCTCAGTAGCCACATGTGGCTTCCGTGTTGGACAGTGCACGCACAGAACCGTCCACCACGGAAAGCTTTCCTCGACTGTGTGGGGAAAGCGCAGAGCTCACCTCTCCACCATCACGCAATGCCCCACTACTGACACTGAACCACGAGGCAGACACACACCCTACGCACAGCCTGGCACCACAGGGCTTCTGCGTGGTGCTCGCTCTGCAAGTTTGCTGTGTCCCAGCTCAGGCTCGGCCGGCCTCTCCAGCGGCCAGCACCCGGGCTCAGAACCGCAGAGCTCGGGGCCAGCCCGACAGGTGCAGGTCCGGCACGGATCTCCGGGCTTTCCCCCGACAACAGGCTATTAACTGTCCTGCGTCCCAGACAAAACCACACAGTGCCCGGCCAGCCATGGGTGATTGACAAAGGCTTGTCGCATATTTAATTTTCTTAAATAATCACAAAACATTTTATTTACCTGGTCATTCTTTTGAAAAGGCTCCATTTTTTTCCCCTGGCAGTTGCAGCGAGCTCGATACGCACCAGGACGGAGCATGCTAACATTTTGCCAAAGTCAACAACTTCACGCCCCTCTCCGAGCTACCCAGTCTGACGGAAAAAGCAAGGTGTCATGGCAACGCGGGGCAGGGGCCTTTGGGGGTCTTGTCATCCTGCCTCCCTGCTGGCCAGCTCCTTTCATCCTTGCTGTCTTTGATCCTTTTCTTCCATGTGCCTCGGATGACCTGCAAGGACCAGAGGCTGCAGATTCGTGGGGGAAAGAGCCAGACAGGCAGGCATTTTACATGTTTTTCCAAGGGATCTGTGCTCCCACCCCCGAATCCTGACACTCAATTTAGACAATCAGTCACTTCAGCATTTCTTAGTGGGGCGGGGGGGGAAGCTCCCTTCTGCAAATGAATGTTTCCATTTGGCAAATAAATAAATGAGAAGCTCCTCTCGAGAAAGCAATAGTCAGGGTCGCGGTGCCCTCTGTGGCCAAGGCTGTGGCGAGGCAGGACCTTTCCAGCCCCGGTCTCTGTGGTCATACAGGGGGAGGCCATACAGCCTGCCCCTCCAACTGGATCAACACACTTTCCTCGAGCCCCTTAAAATGCACGTGCATTCACTGAAGAGCTCTGAAAAACCAGGCGGACATTTTCGAGGCCGATGTCCGTTTTTCCAAATGAAGCCTAGCGTTTGGACACATCTGTTTTCATCAGCAGAAGCGAATTCGGTTTGGGGCAGAGATTTCTCCGCAGGCTCCTGCCTCAGCCTTCCCGCCACCCCCACGCCCTGGCGTCCCCCCAGCCAGCGAGCTCCCCCCCTTCTGTCAAGGGACCTGCCCCACTGCCCCTGAGATGCAGTTGCTTAGACACTTCATCCTTCTCTTGCTAAAGCTCCATTTGCAGCTAGGAGCCAGCTGCAGCCTGCTTACACGTGTTTCACTAAGATAAAGGAAAAACAAACAGACCTTTGTAAACACTGCAGAGGCACCACAGGAGATAAATCTGCAAGGAGCATGAAACCCCTGTATGGTTTCATAGAAGTAGCAGAGGAGGGGGTGGGTGCACAGATCCCTCGGAAAAACATGTAAAATGCCTGCCTGGCTGGCTCTTTCCCCCACGAATCTGCAGCCTCTGGTCCATGCAAAATTCAGCAACAATTTGCTCCAATGCTGCGCACAGCCCTCCCCACTACTGTACACAAGGTCAGGTCTAGAAGTCACAGAG